AACCCTAACCCTAACCCTAACCCTAACCCTAACCCTAACCCTAACCCTAACCCTAACCCTAACCCTAACCCTAACCCTAACCCTAACCCTAACCGATTATAATATATTAAGTCAAATAATTTTATACTTTAAATACACATAAATATATACGTTATAATTAAAAAAAAAGTTGATATTTTTAAAGTTATAAATAATACTTTATTTATTAATAATATTTATAATTAAAAAAATTTTAAATATACGTAATAAATATAAAAAAAACCAGGTATAAGTAATAATTAAATAAAGATTAAATATACATTAATAAACGTATAATAAAAGAAAAAAGAACATATAATATTAAAATAAAGTTATTACGATTTATTATTATTTATTATTATTTATATGTATATAAATTAATTTAAAAAGTAAACCTTTTTAAACTTAACCCCACGCACGTAATAACACGTAATTAAATTACATAATTAATTATTTTTTATATTTTAATACTAGTAAATTTTCTTTTTTTCCTTCCTTTTTTTTATATAATGTAATAATTTAAATTAAAATTATAATATCTTTAAATTTATTATATCTTATTATAAAGTTAAAGTTAAGGTTAAAGTTAAAGTTAAAATTAATTAAAGTTAATTAAGGTTTAATATTAAAGTATTATAATATCGTAATTAATAACATCGTAAAAGTTTAAATAAGTTAAAATAATCGGGTATTATAATATTAAAATAAAAGTAATTAAATCATCAAGCTGGAAATAAAGCTATATTAATTAATTTCGTTAAACTTAAAAATAAAATTATCGAGGTTAATATCGTTAAACTTAAAACAAAGTTATTAAAGTTAATATCGTTAAGCTTAAAACAAGATTATTAAGGTTAATATCGTTAAGTTAAAAACGAAGTTATTTTTAATTAATTTAAGGTTATTTTTAACCAATTTTAACTTTATGATAAAAATCTTTTACGATGTTAATCTTTTTATCTGGTATGCCATTGTTTAAGCCATACCTTTTATCCTCGTTATATTCATCGTTATTTGTTTTAACATAACTTATAACGCTTTAAAATAATCTTATTAACCGTTTATATATAATAAGCTTATCGGAGGTTGTTTATAAAATCGGTTATGCTTTTTATAATATCGGCTCCGATGTTATTAATAATATCGGAACTGATATTTCTCGTAAAATCGGTTTTAAAATTATTTTTTATAATATTAAAATTATTATTATTAATAAATTAAATTATACTACTTATACTTAAGGCTTTTATAACATAACCTTATATAATTTATCGACGTAAAAAAGGTTAATTATTAAAATAAAACTATTAAAATAATATTTCGAAAAATATATACGTTTATTTATTAAAAATATTAAAAATTCGTTTACATTAATTATTATTTTTAATATTTCGGGAATAAGCTTAATTTAATCATAATAAACCCCGTAATATAATAAGTAATTTATTATAAATTTTCGAAACATATAATATCTTTAAATATTATAAAAGTTTTAACGTAATAAGTATTAATTTATTATACCGTGGTTTTATTAAATATTATAAGGTTTTTACTTAAGGTATTATTATTAATATATTCGTTTTATATTAAAACCATTTTAATAAGTATAATAAAATTATATAATTACGTAATAAACGTAGATCTTTTAATTTAATTAAAAGCCCCGAGATTTTAAAATAATATAATATCCGGATAAAAGTCCATTATTTTTTCTCGTTAAAGTTATATAATACACATTCTTTTCGCTTTTTTTAAAAACGTAAAAAACTCGGTATTATTTTCACTTTTTCCTTATTAATTTATAATTTTTTAACCATTAATCAATATAAAAAAAACCAAATATAAGTAATAATTAAATAAAGATTAAGTATACATTAATTAATAAAAATATTAAAAAATTAAAAATTAAATTAAAGTATATAAATATATATAATTATTAATTATATTAAAAACTTAATAAAATTATATTAAAATAAATTATATTATTTTAAAAGATATAATTGTAAATAAACTTATTAAAGCTTTTATAAAAAATTTACATTATTAGATTAACTATGTATTACGTAATAGTATGAAAGGGAATGTAAATAACGATCGTGTTTTAATTGGTTGTTTTAAAGTAAAAGAAAAAAGGTTCCTTTGAGTGGGAAAAGATATTTATTATATAAATGCGTGGGTTATGCGTGGGCGGTGTATGTGGGCATAACCCTGGTCATGTGACGAGGTCACGTGACCGTTATCTTAACATACATAAATAATTTAAAACTTAATTAATTTTAATAAATATTAAAAACCTTTTATAAATAAAATAATTATAAAAATTAAATAATAAAATAATTATAAAATGAAAAATATATATTAATAATAATTAAAAACAATTAAAAGCCTTTTTTAAACTAAAATTAAATTATTAATAATTTAAATAATAAAAGAATATTAAAATATAAAAAATAGTTAATTATGTAAGTTAATTATATGCCATTACGTACGTAGGGTTAAATTTAAAAAGGTTTATTTTTTAAACTAACTTACATACATATAACATAATAATAAGTAATAACAAATCGTAATAACTTTATTTTAATATTATATGTTTTTTTTTTCTTTTTTTTACCGTACGTTTATTAATATACATTTAATCTTTACTTAATTATTACTTATACTTAATCTTTCTTATATTAATTAATAATTAAAAAACCATAAATTAACAAAGAAAAAGCAAAAACGATATTAAGTTTTTTACGTTTTTAAAAAAGCCGAAAAAAATATATATTATATAGCTTTTAACAAAAAAAAATAATGGACCTTCACCCGGACATTATATTACCTTAAGATTTTAAAACTTTTAATTAAGTTAAAAAATCCGCGTTTACCACACATTTTTTACACCTTTATTATATTTATAACTTATTTTACCATTTAATATAACTTTAATATAAAACAAATATATTAATAATAATATCTTAAATAAGAATTTTATAATATCCGATAAAGCCGAAATTATAATATAGTAAATTAATACTTATTACGTTAAAACTTTTATAATATTTAAAAACACCATATATAATAATAAACTTTAAGAAATTTTTATATTAAAATTTAAAAAATAAAAAATAAAACATTTTTAAAAAGTTAATTATACACTTTAAAAACTTATAATAAATTATTTATTATATTATAAAATTTATTATAATTAAACTAAACCTACCCTTAAAATATTAAAAATAATAACTAACGTAAATAAATTCCTAATATTCCTAATAAATAAATATATATATCTTTTAAAACATTATCTTAATAATTTCATACCAATAACTAACCCTTTCTACGTTAATAAGTTAAATAAAGCTATCCCAACGATATTACAAAGGCCTTAAATACAGGCAATACAGCCTAACCCACCAATAACAACAATCCCAATATCACAAGAAACAACCCCGGAGCCGATCCTACAAGTACAGCCAATATCACTGGTAACACCAAAGCCAACCCCACGGGAAACACCAGTCCCGATATTACCAATAACACCGGAGCCAATATCACAAAAGGCACAATCGATCCCACAAACAATTCCCAATAAGCCTATTACATATAAACGGCTAATGAAATCACTCCAAAGCATTACAGGCTATATTGAAACATACAACAATAAATACAACAAAAATGAAAGATATGGCCTAAGCAATGGCATACCGGATAAAAAAATCAACATCGTAAAAGATCTTCATTACAAAACTAAGATTAATTAAAAATAGCCTTAAATCAACTAAAACAGCCTCGTCCCCAGCCTAACAATATCAACCTCAATAACCTCATCCCCAAACCTAACGAAATCGACCAATATAGCCTCGTCCCCAGCCTAACGAAATCAACCTCGATAACCTCGTCCCCAAGCCTGACGAAATCGACCAATACAGCCTCATCCCCAGCCTGATGATCCACCCTTACCCCGATATCACGATACCCGACCATTTTAGCCTACCCAAGCCTCTACGATGTTATTAATTACGATACCACGATACCCCGATAGCCCTAGCCAGCCCTAGCCCTGGCCCTGGCCCTGGCCTTATAATGAAATACAGTAGATTCAGGGATATTACAAGGTTAAATTTAAGGTTAGATTCGAGGATATTACAGTCCTAATTCGAATCATTACGTCATACGAGAAAAGGAAAAAAAAAGAAAAAATTTGCCAGTGTTAGAATATAGGGAATAACCAATTATGTAAGCTAATCACATGCCACCACGTGCATAGGGCTAAGCCTAAAAAAGTTTACCTTTTAAGCTAACCCACACACACACAACTCAACAATAAGCAATAACAGATCGTAATAGCCTCATTTCAGTACCGTGTGTTCCCTTTCCTTTGCCGTACGCTTATTGGTGTACACCTAATCTTTACCTAATCTTTACCTAATCCTTACCTAATTATTACCTATACCTGGTCTTTCCTACAAAGAATATTAATATATTTTAAATTAAATAATTTAAAAATCTTTAATCCCATATAAAATAGCAGTATAATACACGTTCCCACGATTTTACCTGAATTAATTAAATTATTAGAAATATGATAAATTAAACCTCATATAACGCCTTTTCAGTACGTATTAGTTGTGTGACAATTTTCAAGTCACCTAATATGGCTGACTAATCTGACATATATTTAACCCGGTTCCTTCATCATCTTAATGCCATGGGGTATGTAAAAGAAACTGATGCCGACCAGTATACGCCAACCAACTTTACAAAATCTCTTTACATACCTATAATAAGTGCCAGGTACCCTTCATTGTAAGAATGCTTTTAAATCTAGGATCGGGTAGCTTATTGATGTGAACTAAAGCTCGGGTGGCGTCCTCGCTTCGAATATCAAATTCCACGAGTACATAAAAAGGGCTAGGTATGAGGTTCCCAGCAACATGCTGTCCGGGCCTTTCCAATATGCGTATGACACAGATAAGAACTTGTTTGAACATCTTCAGGCCAATCCTCCCTACGGCGATCTTTTCAACCTTCATATGGCCGGATATCGCCAGGGGCGAGTAAGTTGGATGGACCCTCAGTTCTTCCCAGTTTAGGAGAAGCTCGTCGATGGGGCAGATCCGCGTAAGGAAGCCGTGTTCTTAGTCGATATTGGGGGTTCTATTGGACACGACATGGAGGAATTATTAACTAAACATCCGTCTGTACCCGGCCGTCTTGTATTACAAGATTTGCCAGCTGTGCTTCAACAAATCAATACTCTAGATGAGCGGATGGAGCACAATTTCTTTGAAGAACAACCTATTAAAGGCAACCAATTCGGTAATTATGCGTCGTGTTTGATTATCACTAACTTCTGGGTATTTCTATTCAGATAGTAGGGCTTATTACATGCACTCGGTCTTACACGACTGGCCTGATGAGCAATGCGTTGAAATTTTAACTCAACTTTGCAAGTCTATGGAACCAGGATATAGCAAGATGCTCATTAATGAAAACGTAATCCCGCCACAGCATACATACTGGAAAGCTACAGCTCTCGATATCATTATGATGACCGGCTTTTAATCTAGAGAGAGAACGAAACACGAGTGGGAAGATCTACTCGGGGCGTCTGAACTACGTATTTGCAACGTTGTAAGATATCACATACACCTATTCCCTCTAAAAAAAAGATACTAACTTTGAGTGTTATAGTGGACTGTCGATAATGGAATTGAAAGTCTCATCGAGTGCGAATTAGATACGAAATAGCTTTCTTAATACTTGCCTACTGCTAGTTATTTTATATACGTGCGATATCTATGATTAGCCAAGGCTTTTAGATCATTTATCCCGTATTGACTTCTTGTTAGTTAATTCGTACCAATCAAAATGTATACACAGTTAAGTTATGCAGGTACGACCTGGCGAATTGGAAATAATACCGGCCGAGGCAATGTACTCAGAGAGCCGATGTAGCAGTTTCTCATGCCATTCTATCGGATGCATTAAGCCTAAGGCTTTATATGGTCTCGTGCATCATTAGTTATTTATTAACAAGCTGTGCCACTCTATGATCTCTGCCTCGGCTGTCATGCTTATATCCGGGTTACTTAATTCCCTTCCAGTACGCTATACTGCGATTGGTTCATTCTTATAATTCCTCCTGCCTTTTTCTCTCTAACTAAGATAATGTATATAATCTGACATTGGTACCAGAAACCTAACAGGACTGGTTACTATGAGAAATCAATCAATTCTAGGCCTGTCCATTCTTTCTAGCCCTAACGTGTTTTTTTCATACCAGCTGACAAAGCTTAGAGAGTTTCCTTGGTCATTACTGCAGCTGCTGAGTGATGAAGCATGATGCCAGACGACCAGACCACCCGCTCAGATTGCTACCATTTCCTGCAGGGGATAAGTATGGATATAGAAAGCAGACGCTGATGCCTTTATAAACACGGCCCCAACACCTAACTCGCTATCTGCTCTTCGTGTGGACATAGAGGCGCTTTTCAGCTCATGATCAACTGGTCGACGAGGTTGCTATCACTTTCGCCATGCTAAGTCGATTGATATGTGTTGTTGTCATTTGCGGGACCCTTGTTTGGGCGTCTACGGACACGAGCTACTCCTTCAAGACCGAAGGCGAATGCTCGACGATATGGGGTAGTGGCGGGACAGTACCGATGTCTCTTCCAACTTCGACAACTATTAGCACTGTCTCGTCAGTCGTCACAAATGAAGTAGTGACGGTTCCTTTATCGTCCACGGTCACCGCCGACGCTTCTACGACAACGGTACTTGAGCAAACCTCTTGGACCTGGTCTGAGTCGACGGTTACTTTACCGACGACAACCCTTTGGCTTGGGGCTCAATCGACAGTTGCCACAGCCTCGTGGCCCACTACGATATGTACTAACGGTGTGACCCCGTCCACCGTGACAGAGTACAGCGGTAGTTATATTCCTGTCTCGGGTCAAGTGACTACTGAGCCGGCTTCATATCCTTCGCAGGTCATATGCAGGACTGGGGTAACGTGGTTCACGTATCTGCTCCCAACCGTGACGTCCGGAGTGACGACGGTGACGGTGACGCCTACGAGTACAGTATTCGCTCCCACCACGACTATCACAGCAACTGCCCCATATTACACCTTTACGAAATTTGAAACTACGGTCACAAGCGTCACAACAACGTACCGAGTTGCCACGAGCGTCGTAACCAGCAGCATAGCGTGTGAGGCTTCGACCACGACGACATTCGCTGCTAAATGCGCGCCGACGAATGTCATCAAGGGTATTGGAGAGTACGGGATAGTGTCTGGAAAATATGCGAAGAATATTACGGTTACCTATATTTCCGATCAAAAGTACAATGATCCCGGTGTTTGCTGTCAGCTCTGCCAGGATAACGACGGATGTGTCGCCATGATGGCAGGAATCTCGGGATTCTGTGGGCTATACTACGTCGGTGCCCCGAATGGTGGTCCGGCGTGTGATTTTGCCTTCACATACCAAACTGAACCTGATAGGTTCCCGGGACAAGGTCTCTGGATACAATCCGGGTGTGGAGAAATTGAATATAGCGGGTAGGGACGGGGTATAGAGCTGGATGATACGGACTCACCAGTATGCCTTGGGTACATCTGACGAATAAGAGGAGCTGAACATCTTTCTAAGGAATATGGTCCAAAATGACCGGCCCTATGGTACATATTTATCGAATGCCACCAGTGTTTTCACCGCTTTAAGTGAAGCTCACTTGAGCCCCGCGTAGTTGATATCCGAGCTCCATGGCGGTTTAGTTCGGGGTGGCGGGGTTAGGAGTTACGAGGTCGAGTTTTTAAAATAACAGCGTCCGTGGCCACTTTCCTTTAAGAATATTTCTTGATCATTGATTTTAGCGTACCGAAACTGACACAATTTGATATATTAGAATCAATTGAATTTTTCTTCGATTCGCTCTTATAATCAAGGGTGTAAAGTGAGAATGAACCTACGAGCTAGGTACATACATGTATGTAAGTTTAAGTACATTATTAGAAGTAGGTGAGCTTATTTTCACATGTCACATAAGGTAGGTGTATTTACCCATACAAATTCAGTGGTCCAATACATCTACAAGCCTTGCAGTGGAACGGTAAAAATGTATTATGGTAATCTCATATTCGACTCAAAAATTGACATGTTTGTAATAAGTAAAGACTTGATCTAATGGCATACTCCGATTTGTCGCAAAAAAGGTATAATTAACGACTCAACATTGCTAATTGTAACTAACATCATAGGTGTATCCTCTAAAGACGTAAATCCACTCCTAGATGAGATATACATCACATGTATAAATATATAGGCACGCTTCTACAACTACGCCGCGATGGTGTTTACACATAAAATTGAGAAATCATGGTCAAGTACAGCGTCGATCATGCGCGTCCGAATTCAAGGACAATTGAAATGATAGCGTTAGGTAAGTATGATGATGCGAGCCTTTTTTTTGTTTTTTTTTTTTTCACGTTCTATTTTTAGAAGAGAATTTTTTAGTCACGGAAAGGGCTTATCAAGTATTTTGTGCAAAATTTGGAATTATTTCAATATATCTTCGGCCAAACAGTTCTAGCCAAGCCTTAAAGTTTAAATTCAAGGTTGCGACCGCGAGGCGTAGCAAGCATGTCACAATGACTGCCGACTCGGCAGATTTAAGTTAGGACGCTGTAAGGCTGCTATGCTGCTTTCGGCCCTACTACCTCGCATCGTGAACTCTTCCCATTGTCATCGCTCTGGCCCCGATCTATGACACTATCGCCCGATCGCTCCGGCTCAATTTTATTGCGACGACGCATCTATCACAGCAGGTTAACGTCCCGTGCCAAATTCAAGACCGAGCTCGTTCTACTTTGACCAGCGTAGGCCATTATTCCAAATTTGAGTTTGCCTTCGTGTCTGATTCGATGTCGAAACGATACGGCGTTCGACCAATATAAAGAATGCGGGGGCGCATCCCCCGAGTTGGACGTTTTAGAACTCGCCTAAATTAAACAAGACGGAAAAATACCGGGAACCTATTAAAGAACGATGATCAGTCAATCTATTGAGATCCAGCCGTGGGTATGCGGTTGTCGGCATATCTCGACGCCAGGGGAACGTCTGGCTCTGATGCTAATACATATCTACGGCCATGTCGAACCGCATCGCATACTTGTGGGCATCTCTGTCGTCGCCGAAACTCGTTGCTGAACTCTACAACCAACCGCCAAGATGAAGTGGCTATCTCTCACTCTAGCACTCGCCGTGCCTTCTCAGGCCGCGCTTCGATTTGGATGTTCGACCGTGAGCATCCAACGTCTCGATCCCCTCGTCGAGCCCGGCAAGGTTCCATCAGCCCATCTTCACCAGATTGTCGGCGGGAATGCTTTCAACGCTACGATGGGTGATGACCTCGGCGATAGGGGAACGTGCACCACATGCACGTTCTCTGAGGACTTTTCCAATTATTGGACCGCGGTCATGTTCTTCAAGCACCCGAACGGAACTTACAAGCGTGTACCCATCATGCAGAACACTGCTCTGCCGGACGGCATTAATGGTGGAATGACCATCTACTACACGCAGCAGGACTTCTCGTCGAACGGCAACCAAAAGATCACCGCCTTTAAGCCGGTAAGCTGGGCGTGATGTCTCTTCGGTGTAAGACGCTAAGACGCTAACTGCGAAAGGGCTTCCGTATGACCGTAGGCACTCCTACGGCCACCTCGAAATATGGACCTGGTCTTAAATTTGTCTGTCTTCAAAACAAAGGAACTAGGTTCCCCGAGCTTGACGACTTCCCCACGAAGCCTTGTGTGGGTGGCATCATGACTGTCCACCACTTCCCCGCGTTAGTACTATTCCAAGCCGTCGTATTCTTACCCTCTAACCATATTTAGATGCTGGGATGGCAAGAACCTGGACAGCCCCGACCACCAATCTCACATGTATAACACCGTAAAGGATGCATTCCAAAATTCCGGACCCTGCCCCGCGTCTCACCCTATCCGTGTCCCGCAGGTAGCTTACGAGACCTTATGGGATACGACTCAGTTTAACAACATGTGGCCTACCGACGGCTCGCAGCCCTTCACATTGAGCTACGGCGACAACACGGGATATGGTACTCATGCGGACTACGTATTTGGCTGGAAGGGTGACGCGCTTCAACGTGCTATGGACTCATCCTGCATGTTCAACGCCTGCGAGAACGGAAATCCGTTGAAGTCTCAGGGTGTGACCCAGATGAACCAGTGCCAGGTGAAGAGTACAGTCAACGAAGACATCGACGGATGTAAGTTATCATGCGTGCCTTTTGTAGAAGTAATATGCTAACGATCTGTCTTTTAGGGCTCGCCGCTCTCCCCGGTATGTAATAGCGCAAGCTAATGAGGGAGATTCGAATTGCAAGGGACGGATACTCTGATTTGTCGTGAAGGCTTTCCTCGATCCAATCTGCCGGCGCTCATATCGTTTGTTGGCCTTTCAAGAATATTATACCAGCGCTGATTGGGGCGTATTACAGTATGGTGGCCTATTAAGTCTGTAGCTTCATAAAGCGAAGGCAAATATATTTATTAGATGTTACCTTTACGGCTCTCCCGTGAAATATTTTATTTAATATTATATTTCCATGCCCTCCTGGAGTCTCCGGTCGTGGATTTCGGTAGCCCGGTGCACTGACTAATTAAATCCTACTCATTAGGAGCTGTGCCTGTTAAATAGTCGGTGAAGGCGTACGTAGATACCTGATCAAATCCTTCCTCGAATACCATTTCTAAGCGTTGTCCCATACATAACGCAATACAATATGAAAAAGCCCAAGTAAGTATGATAATCTTTAGTGTGGAAAGAATATCTGGTAACTCCGGGCATCTATATCATCAGTTGGCACTATTTCATACTATCCCCATCGTATCACTTTAAGCAATACTCCAATTCTCCTGTTGTTTACCGAACACATTTGATCATAATGCATGAATGGAGAACGATGATCAGGGGTTTGGGCGTTGACCACGTTGGAAGAAATAAGCATGGTTTCGTTTCTTCACCGTAACAAAGTATTATGGAGACCGACTAGGCACCTATCGCCATGACCAGCCAAACACTCTGAACCGACTACGATTAAGATAAGTCCGAGGTAGGGGTGCGCGATGAGGATTACCTATAAGTAGACTCGATTTCCTTTCGATAAAATATATTCTCTATCAAATAGACTTCAAAGACCACTACCAGCTTTACTCTCAAATATAACTCCATTGATCTTTTCCATTCGATACTCACGCAAGGCTTCCATAGCATTCATCCGGCACCATGAAGTTCGCATCAATCGTTACTCTGGCACTGCCAGCAGTAGCGCTAGCTCAGGTATGTTCCCGGAAAATCTATCTCGAGCAAAGTGTTGACCTCGACGATAGACATCTACCCCAGCCGTCAGCGACACTCCAGCACCTTCTGGATCCCCAGACTTGTCAATTTGCGAAAAGCAGGCTGGTTCTTACGCCGACGCTTGTCCCAGATGTAATCCAAAGTGTGTAGGCTCATCTGCGTACGAGGATTGTCTATATAGCGTATTTTCAACAATCAATGGTATTCAGTCCCAATGCTGGCAACACGGTGGTAACAACTGCAGGGAACTGGCTATTAACCAAGTTTGCGGCTGAGAGGACTGCTATTCTGGACGAGTGATTAGGAGTATAGAGAGGACAGCTCGACCATAGAGTATAGATTGCAGTTTTAAAAGTGAACCGGAAAATGTCATCTCCCTAGCGCCATAGCTCATTCATTCTATTGATGTATGACGTAGTTAATACATATATGTTTAGAGTTATTTTACAATTCATGACTTAGTGTAATTAATGATTATCCCCTCCTGAATGACGAGGACTGTCTAAACGTCTTCAGCGATTTCGGAAACGACTGCCCCAAACAATACTTGTTGCGTCTGTCAGATCAGCAATGGCCTCGGTAGTAGGTGGCCATGTGAGCCATACTTCTATCACATTATCTTTATCACCGTCCGGTACGAATTGCCGAAATAGCAAGCTATTATCCCGAGCTAGAACGCGCCATTCGATCTGGGCGGCTTGCGTAATTGTTGCGCAAATCGACCCTATCTCTACATCAAGGGTCCGCGCGGCGCCCAACCCGACCTGGACTGTGTTATAAGCCCATTGAGCAGTCGATAAAAATTCCTCGACTAGGTTGTCTATCTCTCCTTTCTTACTAAACCGGTGTTCCCCCCTACGAGCCAGTGGGGATAGAATACCGCCAACATCTTCGAGAAGCAAGGCCAGGCTGTCATGAGCTTGCGCGTAGTGAGCGCGCATGCCTTGCCAGGGAAGTAAGCTGTCGTAGCCAGAACAGAGAATCTCGTCGACCAAGTGATAAATACGAGAATTTTGCGGTATGATGACTGATGTAAAGGTATTTAGGATGGTGGCGGTATCGTTGCCTGAAATTGATTCCGGTAGGTAGTTCCAGGGATCAAAGTCGGGCTCCCCCCAGCTCCACCAAGTTGCCATGTTTATCCATTTAGCTAACGCCTCGTTGTCCCAAGACTTCCGATGCTGCCCATGTGCCCGAAGGTTAGTGTGCAAAGCGTTTAGCATATTGAGAATTTCTGCCGGACTTGCTTCGTAGTCCCCGGTAGAGTAAATATTGCTTGGTGAGTTTAATGCTGAAGATGGGGTAAGGAGCATGTTCAGTTTATTAATTGTTGTTTCCACCTCCAAATCAAATTTCTCGTCAAGTACGGCCCAACTATCGTGCAAAGGCTTGTGGTGCTTGAGAAGTAAATCCCTTAAGTTTCTTGTCATCCGGATAGTTTTGATGAGAGTATGTGGCTGAAAAAGATACGAGTCTGCAGTCGACTCTATACTTGGTACGTGTAGTTTCGAGTGAGGAGTCGAGTGGCCTCTAAATAGATCCGGACTAAAAGCTGTAGTAGCCCACATGACCACTGTTAAAATACCGGCGATTATGGTTAGAGGTTGAAGTACGGCGATGAGACGGGGACGCCAATCAGATGGAATTTGCGACACGCCCCTCCTGACACGCCCGACAAGGGATAACGGATCAATTCCATCTCTGACAGATGGGGCCCGTAAGAGCTCAGGATAGTCAGCGCCTTGACGAGCCTGGACTGCGTTGACAGCGGTACTCAACTGTCCCAAATCGAATCCCGCATCGCCTCGCCACGACCGGGTTTCACGTCCTAATTGCAAAAAGAGTGGCTCTTCAGATGGTGTAAAGCGTACGTCTTCCTCAGCGTTACCATGGTAAACAAGTATAATATCTTGTCTCTCCCCCTCCGATACCTGAAGACGAAGGAGAGACCAAGGAGGGGGTTCCATTTCCGTGCTTTACTATCGCGAAACCAGCGTAGTAGTCTTCAAGATACTCGGAGATAAGCCTATGTGTTGCAACTTTAGGATTTTAACAAAATCTATGTGCCAATTTTTTAAAGGCACCCCTTTTTAAATGATTCCGCAATTTCTTTTTATCCATATAGCACAACTGCAGTTGGCGCCCCTTGAATTTGGACAACGCTTTTTACTCTCAATTAATAAGGTGGGATGCTTATGGTATGCAGTCAACTTTATTACTTTTCTCTAGTTTTTTTGTTCCAGTCTAAACCGTAACCATCAATTCCGGAAGCAGCAATCTTGTCGCAACAATGAACCTCGCCTATACTAACATACACAAAGGGATATACTGCGAAAATATGATCGAAAGTAAATGGAATACATTAGTAGGCATATTGGCATCAGAATTATATCATCCATACTTGATATTTGGGGATGTTCTTACCCCTTACTACTTGATGATCACGTAACATTTATTGCTGCTCAACTCCTATTGTGTGATTGAATACGACACAAGATTAAAATGGCCGACTCCTCAAATGATTCTGATTCAAATATTTTCCCAAAAGAAGAGGAAGAAGAGGAAGAATCCCGCCTAGAGGAAAGTGATAGCGAAGTGTGGAGCGAGCCCGACGAGCCTGAACCGGGGGGTGAGGTAGGGCCAGGAGCGGATTCGGATCTGAGTGTGGTCACCGCTGTATTGCGCGTGCGACCCAACGGCGCCGCAGATCCAGATCACAATCTGGAACAGACAATCCTTATCGCACTGCACCCTGATTTCCCGGGACTATCTGGAGATTCGGAAAGGCAAAATGGTGACAATAAGGAAGGAGAGCCGAAGGACGCCGGTAATGCCGATAATACCGAAAATGCAAGCAATGTTGATAACGATGGCAATGCCGGTAACGATGGTTCACGCAGGCGAGCAGCTATAGTATTTCACCTCTTTCACAATGGGGAATCGGTGTCGACAACAACATGGCGTACTACACATGAGAATTATATCCCCGCGGAAACGCCAGATTGGGAGTGGCGGGTAAGCGGCGAGGTTGATTTCACGGAGGTGACTCCAATACGTGGCAGCGTGTTACCGGAGGGCCGCCGGTTGTTACCTCAGGAATGGTTGACCAGGCGCTTTGAAGGTGGCGCGCATATAGACACGCCACAGCAACCTCAGAATCCTGTAGAAACCACCCCCACACCAGCTCAGAACCAAGGTCGAGAGAATATCAAGATTATAGCTCTAATTTGTATTCTTTTGAGCATGATGATATTTTGGGTATCCTTGCTCCTTCCAAGAATTACAATGGCGGGCAACCGAAGGGACGCGTATTCATAACGGCAGAAGGTGTCTAGTGGCGTACTTTATATACCCAAGAACAAGACCTACGTAACAAGTAGCATTGTATTAACACCAGAAGGGAAATGCTTTAGATGTGCATATCATAATCTAATTGTTATATTATCTAGGTAGATACCTAATATACCATAGTTACGGACATTGTAACCTCAGGACAGCTAGGCATAAAACTCAAAGTTATAACATTGTCCGTAATATGTAAGAATTATACCTTCATAATCATTATTACTTTTGTCCAAGATGTCTTGGTGATGATATACGTGTCTTGAAATTGCCCGACGGATAAGTTGACAACGTCGACTTGAAGGCTCGTCTTGCTAATCCTATAAAGATCAATTGCTTACCATAACGATCCTGATAAACTGAGAATTTACCCAGCCTTACTTACGTTAGCTTAACCCAAGTTTATTAACATCCTATATTTAGAAGATCTAGACAGGTCTGTGAGTTTTTTCCTTTTCTTGAAAAATCATTTGAAATGAGGGTATTCGGTTCCACTTCTGTACTTCATTAGGCCAGATAAAAACCTATGTCCACGTACGAATGGCTTGTTTGGCCTGGCTTGTTGACACTACCGGCTTCCACTGCGCTTCCTGGAGTGTAAGGATATATTTGATAAATAGATAGCTATATGAAAAGAGATCGTCAATAATGAGTACATAGTAAATATCTAACCTATAACCCGAATCGATTAGACTAGTTCTTTAAGTAGTCGAGCAACTGTTGGCGTTAGTGTATCTACATACTCCCTATCTAAGATGTAATACCTGCAATGACAAATTCATATTTAATACTAAAAGGTAACAACTATTTATAATCAGCGCTGAATCGAAGCATTAGAGTTATATCGACTATCCCTACTTGATTTCCGCAGAGTACGAATATGCGAACATGTTTTTCTTTACGAGCAGATGTATAGGTTAGATAGTTATAAAAACAAAGGGGAGGGGGGCACTCATTCGCAATATCATCTCTTCTCCATGTTAAGGCACTTTTCCAAAAGAGAATATGGTAACCTACTCTGTTCTATTCGTCGTTGGATGTCTTTGTGAGTAGTCTCGCTTGTATCTTGATTTATGTCTTTACTTGCATGAGATTCGGTCGTTAACTAATTTCTGTATAGTTGAAACCGTCGGCTATGTTGGAAGAGCAATGTCGTCGCCGGAATATCCCAGCTTCACTAAAAACCCATATATTGTTTAATCGATTCTCCTTCTTGCACCCACCCTCTTCGCAGCCTCTATCTACACGATTCATGATTCCAGGACGTTTGGTCGTCCTTCTCGAAGTCGAGAAATATTCACTCATCAAGCCACGGTGGTTAACGATGTTATTTTCTTACTAAATCCGAAGCAAACGAGATACTACAAATGTAGCCGTCAGGGCTTGTAGTCTTTATTAATATCGGTACCTAGGTAGATAAGTACGATACTCTATCTATAGTACAGGGCAAGGCTCTCATTTTCTAATAGACCGGGTATTTGAAGGCATCAAACGTGTAAGTCCATGACTCCGTCGATATAGAGTCAGATACGCAATCGAAATGACTTCCATTGCCAGACCATAGCGGGCGGAGAGGCCATTTGCATAAGACATTAATATCCCCCGTGTTGTCGAGTGTATCAGGGGCGACTCCCTTCTCGGCCCATTCGATAACTGTTTGGAGCGTAGTTGCGGGCCAGCCACCGCCTGGCTGATTCTGGTTGCTTCCGCAATGGGATCCACCAGGAACAAGATATAGGCGGTAAAAATCATCCATTGCGGATACGCTCTCGTCGTAGTTTAGGTCATCATACATAGCATTCCGAACAGAGTCGTAGTAATGAATTGAAGATCCGGCTGGGATTCCAGGATCTGCCTCTCCGTGGACGTGGATGACTTTACCCCCGGCCGCCTTGAAGGGGTTAAGGTCGAGCCAGGTCGTCTGAAGTGTGTCCTGATACTTTTGCATACCAAATGCCATCCAGTCCCGCAGAGTGTCAGCGGTCACATTCTCGAGACTATCGAGCGAGTCTTTTTGTTGGAGGTACAGATAGCGTGTTATCCACTGCGGCCCTAAACCGGAGAGATTGGGCTCCCATTCGCCTGTATCCTCATTAAATTGAGTTGAAGCGTCCGTGAAGGAAGAGCCAGGTTGAGGGTTTATGTAGATGCGTTTCCCTTTGGAGTCTATCAGACCGTTCATAAACGCGGAGGCCACTGCTGCGCCCTCGGCAGTAATGGTACCATTCTGTTCAGGCGTAGGGCTGGAACCCGGAGACTGACGCCGGCGCACAGACGCACCATTAGATGCCGGACAGTAGTATGGCTGACCTATTGTCGAATTGTAGTCGAAGCTTAGCTTGCAGAGATCGGACCGCGCGACTACTCCATCCACCTTGCCGTCCAAGCCATCACAAGCAGCGATTGTTAAGTTGGCGATTTTCTCGAGCTCACAAGGGGGCGGAAAGTAACCGATTGCCTTTGATATGACTGCGCCTGACAAATGATTCGTCTGAAGATGACTGAATCGGAAAGCAGGTGCACCAGTTACTACCCCGTCAAATTGATCTGCGAAGCGTTGAACTTGGCTCCATCCCTCGCGGCCACCTTCGGAACACCCTTGATAGTAAGAATAAATCTTTTCGCTATCGGATACGTTGAACAAGTTTCTGGTAAACTGTTTTCCGAGCGTAGCAAGCTCGTGATGCGCCTGATATCCAAACATATATGTTGCCTGCCAGTTGACCGTGTTATTCGCCAAGAGGAATACCTTATCGTACTGAGTATTGAAGTTGCCGAACCCTCCATCCGTCATGCCAGACACAGCACCGGAAATGATGCCAACAGGACTGAAAGATAACCCCGAATTAATAGCAAGCCCGCCTCCTCCGGTGGAGACGTATCGATTTAAGAACTTGTCCGGTGGCGGGACAAGATATGATACGTGGACAACGTCGTTCGCAATTCCATTGTGAGAATAGGCGAACGTGATATTGCAGTAGTCAATCGCAGCAGTCCCAAACCATTCTGAGCTAACTGATTTATTAGTTGCAAGAATAGCCGACACCGATGAGACGTCGATAGTGACCCCTAGTCCGAGGTCCTGAACTGGCAATACGCCTGTAGCAAAAGCCGGTGTACAGTAGTCGGAGAGCGAGGCAGCTCTCGCAGCACCTATTAAGGCACTTAACCCTAATAGGTTTCGAGGAGAAATCATTAGACGTGAGACTAGAAGCGAGTTGTCGGGGCGGGTGGGTATTAGAAGGCCATCAGAGTAAGAGAACGGATTCTGATGAAAGGCAACGAAGACATCAGGGGCGATACGGCCTAATATAAAGTATCCTATATCCTTAACGATACGCTACTACCGTTATGATCAGCCGCGCGTCATTTAGAATTTCACTTGCCCCATCCATGCTCTCTAATGGAGATGCCGACGTAGTAGCCGGTGGGGTTTTGTACCCAGGTACTTGACCGTTAAAAATGAGAATGACTCATTGAAATAGGTAGCGAGTTCATCGTGTGATCCTTTTTAAAGATGATAATTCATCTTGGTGCGGTGAAGAGCTCCCATTGAAGAAAAAGAAGCATTGTAGTGCTATGCTGTATGTCAAATTCCATCAATATCCAACCCAACCTTAGGTAATCTTAGGTAATCTAATCTGATCTGATCGCATCTGATCTAGCACACCTAATGGCCGTTTGAGAAGGAAACATATCTAGGAGGTAGTCAGAATAAGGTTCAAAAGGGAGGCGCACGTACTATGTAATTGTTGGTAGCCTGCGCCAGTTATTTTGATGCCATCCTGTCAGTTCAATCAGATGGTGGAATGTTATCGCTTTTAATATATACCTATATTTTAACATGATTTTCGATCGTCCAACTATTTAATTATTAGTTGTTTCCTCGATAGGAAGTGTAATATCCGACGGGCGCTGATCGTGGAGCCACTAGGATAATAAAGTTGGAATTACATAATCCACCAATGAGAAAATGATCCTGATTATTACCAGTCCCTAAGATTGAGGAATCCTTGCATGATGTTTGAATTATTATAGTTAATGCATATTTCTGCGTAGTAATTATCCACATACATAGGTAGGTATTCATGCAAAGGCATATTTTACGTAGCAAGGATGGGTTCTACTAGGATACCTTCACGTAGACCCCAGTTAGCATCCGATAGCGTAACCTCAAACTACCAGTCAACCGCCTGGCCATCCTGCCAAGACATTTAATACGAGCACGATCCCGTATTCATTGGGAATACGGTTGTGCATACAGATAAATATTGATAGAGTATAAACAATCTATAGATAACTAACTAGGCAATAAAACTATATAAATTAGCTGGCGGTCCACTTCGACTCTATAGTCTATGTAAGTCTTCAAGGCCTGGGTTTGGATTTGAATTCCTTTGCCATGTCGTTGAAAGGGGCGATTGTTGCCATATTGGGCGCGAGTCTTGTGCTTGCATCCCCCGCGCCAACTCGACGGGCAGTGGTTCATGAACGACGTAGTTTTACTCAGGAAGATACCTGGAATAAGCGGGAACGAGCGCCCCCGGATGACGTTTTTGAGATGCGCATTGGTCTGAAGCAGCAGAACTTAGATCGAGGTTACGAGCTTCTCATGGATGTATCAGATCCGAAGTCCCCCAGGTATGGAAAACATTGGGAACCTGAAGATGTTATCAGCATGTTCAAACCGGCTCAGAAAACAGTGGACGAAACTCGGGACTGGATCATATCGTCGGGAATTGATAATGAGCGCGTCGGGGTCGCCTCGAGTGGTGGATGGTTGGTCTTCAACGCGACGGTTAGGGAGGCGGAGAAGCTGCTTGAGACGAACTACTGGCTATACGAGGGCGATTCCGAGGGAGTCTTGATCGGTTGCGATAAGTGAGAAGCTTTTATAAAACCATACTCGCGTCGGCTATACTCATGCGAAAATGAACAGATATCATGTCCCAGCTCAGCTTAGTGAGCACATCGACTTTATATATCCAGGTGTTGTCATGGCCGAGAGTAGGGGACCGCGTAGGGACAGGAGGCGGCCCGGACCCCAGAAGAGAAAGACAAGACCAATGCCCCGTTATAGAAATGAGAGGCGTCAACAATCTAATTGCTCCGAAATAGCAACACCGGAGTGCATCGCGAAACTCTATGATATCCCACCTGCTGATAAGGCACACCCCAACAACTCCATGGGGTTCTTCCAAAAAGGATCCTGGTATCAGGAAATGGATCTCGATCTATTCTTCAAAACATACGCTCCTAATATCCCACAGGGTACTCGGCCTCTGAATTTGAGCATCAACCAAGCCGTCTGGCATTACAACGAAGACGATCCGTATGTTAGCCAGCCCGACGAAGCGGACCTGGATCTTGATGTTGCGTATCCAATCATCTATCCTCAAACCACCACAGTTTACCAAACAGACGATGACTATTACACGCTCTACTCTTCGAATGGGTATTTTGGCCTTTTCAACACTTTCCTTGATGCTATAGATGAGGTGAGTCCTTGCCGATTTTTACGTAGTTATATCTTCTTTGAAGGGAACTTACTAAGAGCATTCCATGATGGGCAGACGTATTGCAACTACTCGGCCTATGGCGAAACAGGTGATAACCCCCAGTACGACCCCAGCTACCCCAATCACCGAAACGTTACCGCTCCCGGCCAGCCAGAGCCTTTCGATCCTGGGACGTATAAGGGAGAACGCATGTGCGGTACATACAAACCGACAAACGTCATCTCAATATCGTATTCGAGAGTAGAGTCAACTTACACTACCAACTACCAAATGCGCCAATGCAATGAGTTAGCCATCCAGGACAAACTCAACTTGAGAAAACAAGGAACTAACTGTGGTATTTAGGTGGATGAAATTAGGCCTCCAAGGTGTCACCGTCGTAGGTTCGGCCGGAAATAGTGGCCCTCTTGCGACCCGCCAGTGTATGCCGACTAACTATGGTTCATTTTATGCTTCGCATCCAGGAAAGTATGCATAGCCATGACATCTTAATTTCCTCAGAGAGACTTCGAAACTAACCTAACGAATAGCTGTCCGTACGTCACGTCAGTCGGTGCCACGATGCTGCTGTCCAATGGCAGCCAGACCGTAGCCAAAGACACAAGTTGGGCCTCCTCTGGAGGATTCTCGTGGTACTATCCAACACCAGCGTACCAACAATCTGTCGTTTCCGCCTATTTCGCAGAACACAATCCAGGTCGCTCAAGTATGTACAATAGCTCTGGTCGTGGGTTTCCCGATATCTCGGCCCTTGGTAAAAATGTTGCTGTGGCCGTGCTGGGCGAGCTCGATGTCGCCGATGGCACCTCGGCCGCTACTCCATTGGTCGGTGCTATGATTAACCGTATCAACGAGGAGAGGCTTGCGGTCGGTAAGTCGACTGTGGGATTTGTCAATCCCGTTCTTTATGCCAATCCCGAAATCTTCGATGACATTGTAACTGGCGACAACTCTATATGCGATATAGAAGGCTTTCAGGCTGTGGAAGGGTGGGACCCAACAAGTGGATTGGGAACACCAAACTATCCAAGGTTACTGGAGACTTTTATGGCCTTACAGTGATGCTGATAAATAGGTACATACCTATGTACGTAGCAACTTCATATTCATGTCAGAATTCAAATTGATTAGGTACCTAGGTAGTCTGTAACAAATTCAACCATCAGCCAACGTAAATCTGCCATCAAGAAACTATCTCTTTTCCTGTGCGTTCAGGACTTCAAGATATCCTCCAGAGGTACTTGCCAATACCAACCAGAGAGCACGATTGCACCGACGCTCATTGTAAAGGCCATTAGGAAGTTGACGTCATTATTATCTAGCAAATCAAATCCACTTTCGGCCACTCGGGTAGGCTTCCGGTCGCCAAAATGAGAACTCCGATGCCTATCCTTTGGGTCATAAGGATCCTTGGAAGAGTCGGCTGTACCGTCTTTGGAAAGATCCGATAGGCTCTCGACAGCGTCGCCTCCTTCCCCACCTAGTATGCCTGCTTTAATATTGGTGGTGGCGCTCTTTTCGGTATCCTGGCGCGCATGAGGTTCCGCGTCCGATGGAGATGTTAAGACGCGAAGTCCGCCTTCGCCCTCGACAATCTTTCCCGAACGCACATCTCGAACGCTCCTCTGGAACCAGCCTCCAAGAAAGCTGTCCAACAGACTGCCCAACGCACCCCATAGACTTAATGACCAAGCTAGCGTAGCTTTCTGACCAGTAGTCCAACTCTCACCGCCGCCAACCTTACCCCTTGTATCCTCGCCACAAAAGGGAAGAAACATTAGAGCAGTAGCGACTATAATCATAGACCCTAAGAGGCCAGCAACCAATCCCCATAGTGTGACGCCTCCGTTGGTGCCCGGAGGAACCTTTCGCAGTGAGAAAGACGTGATCAATCTTGGGGAGCTGCGCGATAAGATGCCTAGCTCGGAGGAGAAAGTATCAGCGCAAACAGCGGCATAATTAGCGATTATGCCGAGAACTAATACATCTCCGCGCCATCTATAACAGAATGAGCCTTCCGGAATCTCCCTATGGGTAACTACCGTATCTCGCCGCGCGCGGAGCTGGTAGGCGTGCATAAGAGTCAGAATAGAGGCCATTAGAGAGTTTGCGAGCACCTGGATGTGTGTCCTCGGGCCCTCGCCGCCAGCGCTTCCCCGAGAGTGCAACGTAAGGCCTGATTTAACATTTGCCTTTATCTTGGTGACACGAGTCCCGGCTAGAAAAAAGACGCAGAGAAGCACGAAAGGTAAATTCCAGGGGTGAACAGCATGGGCGGCAGCGGTCAGCGCAGCAGTCAAGATGCCGAGCGGCGTAAGCGACTTGTGCGAATAAGCCCGGTAAACGAGGGCGAGCGTCGCAGGGATAGCGATCACAGCTTTCATCACGAGAGCCTAGACGCAACAATATCTTTTGACGTCTCGTCGCGAAATTGAATTGTCCAGTTGATTATCGTGGATATGGGTAAAGTAACCTGTACGATGTTGTATGTATGTAAGTTGATCGAAGTCCAATACGCAGATGATCATGTTGGAGAGGAACCGACGCTTACTTAAAAACCAGGCCAATAGCCAATGAGTTATTGGTATCGTTATCGATAACTAAGACGCTTGCGCAGACCAAGTTTGGTTGAGTTTGGGGCCACCTTGGGTACACCTAAAGCACATGTACTACCTCCTGTTAAACGACGAAAGTTCACAACATTATGAATTCTAATATTTCTCAACTCCCCAACTACTTTTGACTATTATATACACGAAGAAGGTCGTCTACGGCCATCTTGACCTTCCCGTCGATGCCGTACCAAAAGTGTTGCGGACTCAGCATCCAGCGTCGTAGGTGACCTTGGGAGATATCCGTCGCGAGCTGACCGAGTTCCTTTATGGCTTGTTTAGGGAGCTCAACTAGAAGCTCCCCAACAGCTTCCTTCTGGGCGTCGTTCATATGCGTCGTATCTACCTCTTCCCAGATAGTCTTGAGTCTATTGATGAACGCCTTGGGATTCCGTGGGAAGTCTTCCATCGGGTCAGTACAAAGGGGATCTGAAGTTGTCTTCTCGCAATACGATAGGAGCGTAATATCCTTTGGTATCGCAGGATAATCTACGCTGTCCTGCCAAACGCTGATCGGGTCGCCGAATACCCCCAACGCGATGACATTTGTAACCGCACTGCCTAGTTCACCCAACGCTTTGTGTGCGCACTGCGCGCCTTGGCTATTATCAAACCCATTAGTCTCGAACTCGCAACGATAGCAAGTCTCGAAAAAAGAAAGGAAGATTTAATAAGTTTAACTTACCTCCATCCCCAAATGGCAACCTTAGCATCCGGGCAATACGAGACATATTTCTGTACACTCTCTCCGATACTCGTAGCGCAACTGCTTGACCCTCCTTCTTCGATGTAGCCAGCCAAATCGGCAGGGTAGTTACTAGTACTAACGCCTTGGATCGCCAGACTGACGCCCGTCGACCCACTAACCAAGGCATCACGGAACGGACCACCAACCCAGGGTCCTAGATTTCTACAAGTTGAGTTTATTAGCACATCTTAAACCTAAGCGCATACTTAGTTGTCTTACCCTTTATCAAAGGTCCCGCGAGCGAAAATTACTGCAAGGTCGGCACATTGCGCGCCTTCAGCTTCCTGAAGCACGGGGTCCCATTCGTTTACAGATACGGCCGTGTCCCGGTGACCTATGACGGCGGCCGCAAACACTGGTGACGCGGACGCAAGATATAAAGAGGCAGCAAAACAGGTTGATAGTATTGCATGTTTCAAACTCGCATGTGTATGCGTATCAGTAACAGATACCATCGTTGCAACCCAAGAAAAGTCGGAAGGTCTTGAATGTCAGAATTCAATGGCTTTCAGTGGCCTTCTATGAATCTTAAGCATTGTATAGAAGAACTAGATAAAAACGTCTTACTGATATACATATAAATGTTGGATTTTTACTTCAGAACGGTGTTATGTCTTATATCTTTAGACGTACGTGATAGTGAAGCAGCGTAATCTACCCAATGAGCGCGAAACGGCCATATTCTAAATAAGCAAGTCGAGGAACCAAATGCCTGTAAAAGACACTATATTAATAGGTAGGAATTAGAAGTAGAAGGTGTTTCGCGATCGCCGAGCGATAATCCCTGCCATTATGTCCCAACAACCTGTCCCAGGTAACTGGTTTGCTGTTTGAGCTTAATTACACGTGTTTGTGGATCAGAAACACGATCGCCCTTTAATCTCCCCATCTTCATCACCTCGAAGGAAAATGACACTGGGTTGGCACATGGTCTATGGCCTCACATGTGCGGGGTTCTCGAATATCTAAGAAACGCAATATCGCTTTGCCATTAAATTGGTGTTTGAATGCTCTAATAGAACTGTTGAAGCTCTACACCATCATTTACCGTTCACAGGCGATAAGTGGTATTCGATAGGTCATTAAAGGGCGATAAAGGTATTTTTTATTTATAAAATTGCGACGTAACGTCAGTTTGTTCGTCAATGCCTCCCCACCAGCCCATATTAACAGGACATATTATAAAGAGAGATTCGTTACGGGAGTCCACCCTCGAAAAATCGGATTATGACAAGCCGGTAGGAACCAAGGAGCATCATCGCAGACGAAATTGACATCCGGGAAGGGAAGAAGCTAACATCGACAGGAGAGATCGAGGGGGGGGGGGGGGGGGTAGAGCAAATTTCGAAGATAACACATTTGCAAAGAGGCGAGTTTATTAGGGACCGACAGAAGGAATAGCAGTATTCGCAGGTATCTTCCTCCGCGATTGCGACTACGCCCCAAACCCTTTACCAGTGAGTGTTGTAGGCGTAGTAATACGCCATTTCAGTCCAGAGCAAGCCGCCTCGGTTCGGGCACTCGACCCATTCCTCTTTCAGGACCTTCACTCAAAAAATGGCAATATTATTTTGTATTATATCTAATATTATACATATAACTATACCTAGAGTAGGTATCTTTCATCGAGCTGGGTGTATCAATACTTTTAACGAATTCATACCTTGTTAGGATATTTTCTTAGCCCACTAACTTCCCCTGGCATTTTATGTGAATGGTATACCATCTTAATCAAACACATCGGTAGCGTATCGGACATTTCTCAACTCGTCCCACCATATTTTCGCATCTTCGTCTCTCAGATGCTCGCCCTTTAGCTTCGATTCTTCTTGACGTATATTTTTGATGACCTTTTCGACCCCCTGGCTGACCTTCCGTGAGCCACAGATGTAGAGCTGTGCTCCCTCTTGCCATAATCGGAGAAACCCGAGTCGATCTGCCCATACGATATCTTGTACGTACTTGGATCCGCCTGATTCCTCCGGTTTTCGACTAAATGCTCGCTTAATTATAACAGCTCCAGCCTTCTCCCATTCGGCAAATTCTGCGGAATACACATCATCCTTACCCTGTTCCCGACAGCCATGATATAGCACAGCTGGAGCTAGTTTACGGCCTGATCTGATCATCATGGCACGATGTTGAATAAAGCCACGGAAAGGCGCTATGCCGCTCCCCGCTGCAACAAGAATCAGTGGTGTCTTCTCCGGAGTATCTGGCAAGTGAAAGGCCATATGAGACGGTCGCACAGACACGCGAAGTCTATCGTTAATATGAAGACCTTCTAGATATGAGCTCGTGACGCCTATGTAGTTTCCTCGGCCAGATTTGGCGCGTCCCGAGACCAAGGAGAAAGTGATAGAGACCTTTCGAGGATCCTCTAGTGGCGATGACGAGATAGAACTGAGCTTTATTGTTACTTGGTATCCTTTACTTAGGAGGAAATGGGGAGAACCTACTATTGGCGAAGACGCATCGGCGGTAGCATTGCCAGAAAGGACCCTAGACCTAAGTTGTTAGAGGGAAACGTTTCTAATATGTCCAATACCGATGCTCGCTTTGCAAGTACTTCTGCGTCGTAGTTCTCGGTGGCTAGGTTCTTTAGTGCTCTGCGGTCGTCCTCATCGTCGGTTGCGTCGGCCAATGCGAGGATATTCCGTTTGGTGGCTGGCTGGGCGAGCTCTACGAAGTCGCCCAATATGCTACTAGCAGGTACCGATTCGTTAGTAGGTAGCCTTATACCAGTGCCTGTAATTTTAATGCTCGTATCCCACTATCGAAAGGTCAATACGATTAGTAAATACTCGAGAAATGGGATTCTAGGGACTTAGTCGGAAGCAAGACGTATTTACGAATATAGATCAAAAGAAAATAGCAACTTTACCGGCAATCCAAATCTACGCATAGCTCTCTGGACCGTTTCCTTGGGGTTAATAGGTAGGACGGACAGGTAGTCCCCGGGCATATAAGTTGCGCCGGCCGGTAGCTGAATTTCTACATGTTTCTTCGCAGGTTCGCCTTCTGCAGTTAGAAGTTTGGTTGCGAGTACACGCCCTTCTTCTACATTCTGTTTAAGTATAGATGGGCGCGTATTCAATACATCCACTGTCAATGATGCGTGGGGCATTCCCGGCCGCCCGTCCGATCCCTTTCCAACTCTCAACGTATTTAGAGCTGGCCAGAGCACCTGTGGAGGTCAGCGTAAATAACTCACGTAATTAGAAATAGGCAGCGTCTGCATTCAATAGGTTTGGATGACGATTTATGACAAAACGCTTACATTATCTTCCCACGTCTCAAAAGCAACAAATGGATCTTCCCGTGCAGCGTCCGCAAGGCCTAGTTCCGCAATCTTAGTTGCACCGATGTCTTCCAGCCTTTTATTTACGAGTATAGGAATCTTATGGAATGTCTGAGACCAATCGTGATGGCCACATCCAAAGACTGCGTATGACGACCCGTGGAGAGCTGACTTATCATTCATGATGTTAATCCAAGAAACAAAATGGGCCGCATTATCCGGGGGTTGTCCTTCATAACTTGCTGTTATAAAAATAATGGGCTGGTTCTTTGGGAGCTTTTCCACTGCAGCATCCATACAGTCCAGAGTAGATACTCTATACCCGTAGGATGCAGCATCAAAAGCTAGCCGCTGAGCCATTGACTCGCAAGTGCCGCTGTTAGAGCCGTATAGTATAGTGATGGGCTGCTGATCACGACCCATATATTTATGGTCTAGGCCATTTGTACGTGTCTTCGGCTTGTCCAACTCTGAGTCGATTCCAGAAAGTCGATGCTCAAGGCCGACGGGATCCAAGCCGTCGCGTAATATGGCTCGTATGAAAAAATTATCGGGTTTCATAGTCAGGGTCTGTTTATTCTGTAGCTCATAGTTCGTATCTGCTAAGACGAAGTTGAAATTCTGGAAGAGAATAGCCATGGTAAGGATGGCCTCCTGCATCGCGAATGGTCGACCAATACACTATGTCGTTTTATTCGTTAGTTCTAGTTATCACCAGGCCTCTTCAAAATGGAAAGACAAGGAACAGGGTAGAACTTGGTGGGTTTCTTACGGCTCTAGCACCATTGCCAAATGGTTTCCACGCGTTCTTCGGTAGTTTACTGAAGTTCTCGTCAAGCATCCTTTCTGGTTTAAAGGTCAGAGGATCCTCAAACACTGTTGGATCAAGATGTGCTTTAGTAAGAAAACATTGGATAAATTCTCCTTTGTGGACTTGGTATTTTCCAGCAAGCAATGTATCCTCCACGGGGCTTACTGAAAATATCGGGATTGTCGAATCTAACCGTAGTGCTTCACGGAGAACCTATCTCTATAAGCCTTACGTTTTCAACGTTTAGCGGGGAATATAGCATACTGCTGTGATGTATGGAAATTTTTGCATGTGCTGTACTGTCACAGGACCTTTGCCGATAACTTGATCAACTTCTTGTTGCACTTTGCGGTAAGCGTCTGGGTTCTTCAATAATCTATACTATGGAACGTGGTATAGAATGTTAGCAAGAAGCTCGAGTAACTCGGTAGTATATTAATCATTTAGTTCTACCTTAGGTACGCAGCCGGTACCTTACGGCAAATATGTAATACACTCACTCGATACGAGAAAGTCTGGTTGATAGCAATAAATTTGAGATTGAGTTGAACTTACCATAGAATAAGACAACATCCCAGATGTAGTTTCGTGTCCAGCAACCAGAAATGTAATCAAGTTATCGATGATGGAAGCATCACTCATCTTCTGTCCACTAAGAGAATCTCGTCCTTTAAGCATAGCTGAGAGGAGGTCTTTTCTCTCGTTCCCGGGATCCGCAAGGCGCTCATCTAAGACGGCTTGAGCTGTCTCAGCGAGGACAGCAATGTGTGATTCGTATATTCTGTCTCGTGTTCGGTAAAGGAATGAAGGAAATGGTAGTCGCTGTGCCCTCCGTCCGCTCTCAAGAAGGAATTCCACCATGGCATTGACGAATGGGTGTAAATTTTCAGAGTAGAAGCTGTTGAATCGGAATCCCATGGAGCAAAGAGCGATCGTGTCGAGAGTAAGACGCGTGAAGTCTTCGGGTGCGTTAATCTTTGCATGTTGCCCGTGCCTGGCCCATTTCAAAGCAAGCTGCGAACCTATGTCTTTCATCTCGTCGAACATGTCTCGAATGCCCTTCGGTCCAAAGGCGGGCATTAAAACACGATGGGCGATGCCCCAGTTTGGCTCATCGTTTGTTGCCGTAAACAATCCATCATGGAGACCTGCCCTGAGTTGTTTTAAAACATCATTTAGCTTCTTCTGAAACCTCTTTTCATCGCAAACCTCATCAACCAAGGCATTTGTGCTTACGAATACCAGGCTAGCTCCTGGCACGCGTGCGCGGAAGATCTCGCCATAGTTCTCCGAAATTCTCGTAAGAGATCTAATAGGATTTTCTGGGTCAACACCAGTAACATACCCTAAGAACGGGAGTTGCGGCGGCTCGGGGATTGGAACTATAGATTTAGTCTCCATAGTTTGACGATAGGTGACACTCGGTTTTAGAGTAGATGATAGATGGTGAGCAGTATATAATATAATTTATAAACTGATCCGCGATGTCTATTCCAAGATGATGCCGGTATGTGATTTTTAGTGATACTTTTGACATTTTATATTCCATCTAGAAGATATTCTATACCGTTGAAGCGCGGCTACTTTCTTTATGATCAGGGGCCGGGTT